TAGGGTTAGGGTTAGGGTTAGGGTTAGGGTTATTAGGTTGTTATTAGTTGTTTGTTGAAGGCGCGCTTTTGTCGGCGCGTTGTTGTCGGCGCGCTTCTGTGCTCATTCGTCGGCATGATTTTGACCTCGCGGTTTCCTCGCCGCGGTTTTGTCGGCGCGCTTTTGTCGAGCGTGCATTTGTCGGTGAACCCTACATAGCTAGGGCAGTCCCAACAGTCCAGATTGTGGTTGGTAGGTCAGGACCACACAATTGTTAGGCGAGGGACCCATGCTTCTCATGTCCTGTGCAAACTGCTCCACTTCAACTCCTCCCCCCCATCTCTACCCTCTCACAGATTGTGGTTGTTAGCACTCTGACAGGCTTTGCAGGAGAAAGGCTAGGCCAAGCAAGCAAAGGGGTTGTGGATAAGCTCTGTCAGCCCTGGGCTTACTTTCACCCTCACTGAAGGCTGTAGACCAAGAGCACTTCCAACACAAGCTGCAGAGTGCGCAGGATATACATATTGCACCTCCAGGAAGCCCTCATCCCTCTGATTACTCCAGTTCTACCACCAGAAAACAAGGGGGAGGAGTCAGACAAAGGAGAAATTGCCTATACAGGTAATCAGCAACTTATGATCACAGTTGAGCCCCAAATTTTTGTTGCTAAGTGAGACTTAGTGAGATTTCCCAGGCCTGGTCTGAAGCTTATTCCCTTGAACTCTTTTTCTCTCCAATCTCTCTGCTCTGCAATGGGGCAGAGGAGGAGAAAAAACACAGGCCAGACACAGGATAACACATATTGACTGTAATGGCGTGCCTGAGGGACCAAATGGTTGCAAATGGACTGTAAAAAAATTTCTTCGGCATCATTATAACTACAAATCATCACTGAAGAGACGATCCGTAAGTGAGAACTATTTGACTTCCATGGCTTCCAATTCTTGAACCTGTAATTCACAAGACCTAGACTAAGTGAGAAAAACGAATAGGAATCAAATAAATAGATTATGACTGAAAGCAAACTTAAATGCAAACTGTCCCACTGTTTCTGCTTTTAAATAATGAAGCTGTATCCAATAAAACTATATGCTGTAAGAAAAACACGAATAGTTCATTCTTCATGTTCACACGCAATGCTGGAAGAGCAAAACCATACATTTTAGCTGTTAAGGATCATGGAAATCTGGCACTGGAATGAAAGAGCTGAAGGTAGAATAACTCGGTAGAAAATAGTAGCATGCAGAATATTGAGAGAGAGAGAGAGAGAGAGAGAGAGAGAGAGGGAGAGAGAGAGAGATTATTACTAATATATTACATATTATTATTATTTATCTTTTCCCAGTACCTGCACCACTGCTGTTCTATGTTGCAACACTATTAAATGTATGAAGTATGATTGTTGGATGTATGATTAGTTAAATATGCTGTATGATTTGGGCTGCTACCTTTTAATTGTAAAATTTCTTTCCCTTGAACAGTATGATACCCTTTTATGGTATGAGAGATTCTGATTGTCATCTCTTTAGCTTTATTTGGGGATTTGATTAATTTTGCTTTAACTTTCTACATACAATTCTATTATTCTGATATGATTTTGTTTTAATGATTTTTAAAATATATTTTTGAACATGTTCTTGAAGTCTATTTTCCCAAATTCCAACTGAATTCAGTACTTCTTACTTAAGCATAGGTTTATTGTGTTTATCACTAGTTTCTTCTTTTTATAACATTGTTGCTAAGTTCACAACTTGAATGGTTCTGCTTGCTGTAGTGTAATTCTTTAAAACTCAGACAAGGATTATTTCCGTTCCCTAAAATCTTGCTAACAGCACATAGTAGCAAAGTCCTTTAAAAACAATTGAAAGACGGGTGAATTTTGTTCCTAAAGAGGTAATAGAAGATGACATCATTCATTTATAGTAGACAGTGACTCATAAGCATTTGACCTGAGGGTGGAACGCAGTAACAAGGGTTAAGCTGATGTCATTTGTGGTTGCCTAGTGCTTTTTAACAATTCTTTCTTTTTACCTTCTAAATAATTGTAGAAGCCATAAGATATCAAAGTACAACACTGTGAGGACAAACATAGCTCTGTTTGTTTTCTGATCAAAAGGTTTGGATTTTGTGCTTTGATTTGAACATAAAAAATGAAAAACAAAAACAAAACCCTCTAATTCTTTTTTTCCCTGTGCTTTGCTCATTTTTGTAGAAGCCACAAACCCTCTAATAATAGAAACTATTTCTTGGGGTTTTAGTCAGATGTTACCTGAACTGATATCTTTAATTTGATGTTTTCGGTCACTCCTTACCGACGATACATATTTCTTATTCTCCCACTTTCGTCTCTTTTCTGTCTAATATTTATACCATAGCATTTTGTAAAGCTGGCATTCTTAATTTCTGAATTACAAAATATGCAGTTTAAATAACAAGCATGTTATATGAGAAATATATTAAGAGGAACTATTCATTAGATTATTGATGTACATTTCTGGAAAATAATATAATTTTTATTTTCAAATAATAAAAGAGGATGGCTTTTGGATATTCCAGTCTTCAATGGTTGTCTATTCCAGGGTATCTTCTTTTGTAGAGGAAGTGTTAAAATCAGCTTGGAGCAGGGTAGGTTTTGAACAGCGGCATTACAATGAAATGTTGCTTTTCCTGTTGACCTGGTCAAATCAATAGTTCTGTCTTTCATAGAATAGTTATTATTCTAGTTCTGGTGGCCCATCCCCTCCTTGGCTGACATTGACCTGTTACTTGGTTTTTTAAAGGTGTAGTTCTTTTGTATTGCTTCTAATTTTCTTTAAATGAATATTAAATTTTGAGAAATGAACATGACATGTCAGAAGTACTTTAGGGTTCTGATGTCCACATTGCCGAATTTCAGCCACAAAAATAGACATTTTGGGTGATGCAAGAACATCCAGAAATACCTGGGCAAAAGGAGGCTGTCATCAAGAAAGGGTATAGAAATAGGAAGAGCAATCATAGCTGCTATATCAGACAAGAAGTCCCAACTAAGATCTTCCTTCCCTCAATCCTAGTCTGAAGGTATTTCAGGTACGTAGTTTGTTTCGTATCCATTCTAAGTTAACAGCACTGAAAATGTGACAAGTGACCGTTTTCACACTTATGACCATTATAGTACCCCATGCAGTGGTGGGTTCTGGATCCCGGTGCAACCGGTATGGTGCAACGGGGCCAGGCGCCCACCATGTGCACGTGCACAGCATGCACACACGTAGTCACTGCCCGCGACACTCCAGCTGCTTGGCGGAGCATCATGCAGGCACCGTACACTCCGTGCACATGCGCAAATGCCCCGATTGGCTCAAATAGCAGTAAGGAGAGCAGGCAGGTGGGTGAACCCTCCGGAGCACCTTACCGGAACAGTACCTGGTGCTGCCAGCAGGCAACGGTACACCCATAACGGGTATATTGGTCATATCCTACCACTGACCCCATGGTCACATGATCAAAATCCAGACGTATTGTTCATATTTATGACAGTTGCAGTGTTCCTGGGTCATATGCTCACCTTTTGCGACCTTCTGACAAGCAGAGTCAATGCGGAAGCCAGATNCTGAGTCAACCTTGAGCCGGTGAGATTTGAACAGCCGAACTGCAGAACTGCAGTCAGCTGAAGTAGCCTGCAGTGCTGCACTCTAACCACTGCGCAACCTCAGCTCTGCGTAATATATAATAAAATAAAATTGTTCTAAGTCAGGGATGTCAAACTCAAGGCCCATGGGACAGATCCAGCCCGCAATGTGGTTTGCATCCGGCCTGCAGGGCCAACTTGGTCTACCCAATGTGAAGAGGAAAGATCAGGCCAGCGTGGCTTCAGCCCGATCTACCCAATGCGAAGTGGAAACATGCCAGCAGTTTGGGGAGTGGCATCAAACTAGCCCTGCCCACCCAGTTGGTCACACCCACCCAGTTGGCCACACCACCCAGACAGCCATGCATGCCTGGCCTTCCGAGGTCAACCACAGCCCTGATGCAGCGCTCAGTGAAATTGAGTTTGACACCCCTGTTCTAAGTGAACATGCTGATCTCTTGCCCTATCTTGATGGCGCTACTTTCCTGAGGCCTACTTCTAAAGCCCCTCACAGACATCTCTAATATCATGAAAGAATTACTGGGAATTTGATAGAAAGATTGACACTTGACAGATATTAATGATGGATCTGTAGTAAAATGAATCACTAAAATCTGCAGTTGAAAAAATCAATTACTGAGAAGTGGTAAATATAACGTAGGAGAACATGGATCTTCTCAGGATGAAGTGCTATAATCCGTATTTTCTTTATGTACAGAGCCGCGAAATAATGATAAACAATTATTTAAACTAAAAAAGTGCATTAAATATTTCTGCAGTTAACCTCAATCTCGGAACTTGTACCGCTGAAAATCCCAGACTCTCGAAAAAAGAAAGAAAATCTGGATTTAGCTGTAGAGGATTTCGTGGCTGAATACAGCGTATGCAAATGCCAGCCTTGTCTGCATGGTGGGACAGTGATGCTGATAGATGGAAAGTGTGAATGTGCCTGCACTCCATTGTACAAGGGGGAGGCCTGTGAAATACCCAAGTCAACTTTCATACCAGGTTAGTGACTTAGCATATATTTTAATGACTCTTTTGTCTCTACTGTGTTATTTACAAATATACAAAACCTATACAAAATGTACAAAAGTTAATTATGTGGAGTTAACCCATCCTGTCATCTGAAATTAAAAAAGAGTTATGCAGTTCTCAACTTATGACCACCATTGAGAGCAGAATTTCTGTTATTAAGTAAGCATAGTTGCTCAAGTCCCGGCAGATTTTATGATGCAGTTAAGCAAATTTATCTTCCTCTGTTGACTTTGCTCATCGAATACTGGCTGGGGAGGCTGCAAACAGTGATCACAGGGAAGTTAGGATTGGAAGGCAGGAGTTAAAAATTAAGAGTTGGTAAGTAAGGTGAAGGGGAACAATAGGAACGTATGAGTCGGGAGGCCCAGATTCAAGGCGGAGGTTCAAACAGATGTTCACATATTGCACTGAACCACAATGTGATGTACCTGTTGTGGCTTCTTCAAGAAGGTGTTTACTACCTCCACCTCCAATGCTGATTGAAATACCTTGTCCATTAGGGATGAAGTCACCATGACTCAGATCCAAGCACATGTGATTTCCTGGGAGCTCTTAACTAATCTAGAGGGACATGGATCTAATGTACAGGTGTTTGGATTTATAGCCCCGAGAATCCTATCTACGCACTAAAGAATTACATGAGCATAAGGAGGGTAAGGAATGTAGATTAGATTCTTCCAAGATATTAGGGCAAAACCATGTCTCAGTCAATTCAACTGCAACTGCCCATTTTAACTCTAACTTGGAGTGACTGCCAGGTGCCTAGAAAATTCTTCACAGTCATTCTGTACATGTTGTTGAGATTCTTTCTTTCTCAGCCTGGGGCAAGTCATTGTGAAACAGATTACTGTTGACTATCTATAGATACGATAAGAGCAAAAAAATAATAGTAATTGGCCACTGCAAGTGACGGTCCCTAGAAAGGTACATTATAAACAAATAAAATATAATAGAGAGTTACCTATATTACCAATTATTTTTAACTGAGCAGGAATTGAAACTGTAACTATAGTTTAAGTTTAAGTTTAAGTTTTATTTTATTTATATGCCGCCCTATTCCCTNAAAAAATGAAATCATTGATATAATTTTGTGACTGCAATTCTACTTCCTTTGGAGCACCCCCTCCACATTCTGTTCAATGAAAGAAGTGAGACTTTCCTAAAGCCCAGGAGGAATCAAACTGATCAAATCTCTATAGGATAGGAATTCCAAACTGTGGGGATCATACAAAACCTACCCACAAAGCCCTCTATGTAATGTATGTGAAAATGACCTTGAAGGACAATGGGAGGAGATGCTGTCTAGTACACAATCAGATAAGAGAAGGGGAAGCCTTCAGTAGCCTAACAGTTAGAAAAAGAAATATAGAAAGGATCAGGAAGTTAAAACTGATAGTGGGAGATTTGTACCCTCAGACTTGCACACGTCCATTAATGTAGCCTTATAATAAAGTAGAACTAGCTCATCTAGTCATGTTTCTTCTAATTTACCTAGAAGATTGACACTATGAGATGGCAATTATATAAGCATGGCACTTGAAGGGAAATGACTCTATTCATTCTTGTTGCAAAGAATGCAGAAAATAGTGGGCTTGCAGTAAATAAAGCCTTTAGCCATAGCCACAGCCAGAGCTGTGATGGCTAAACTGCATGGCACACAGCACCCTCTCTGTGGACACATGAGCCGGCACCCTAGTTCAGCTCTACTACACACCTCCTGCTGACCAGCTGGTTGCCTGGTCTCTGCTGTGCATGCGCAGGTGTGTGCGCGTGCATGCACAGGAGTGGGATGCATGCAGGGGGGCACACACACATGTGGGGGCATGTGCATGGGCTGCACATGCATGCATGCAGGGTGGGGCACATGTGGGGGGTGCCTGTATGCACAGGGGGCAGGGACATGCACGTGCCCTGCATGTGCATTGCATTTTGGGGGGTTCGGGTGTGCTTTGGGCATTTGTTCCGGAAAAGGTTAGCCATTACTCAAAGAGGGCTTTGATGGTGATAACTTTTGCCAGGACAAGTTGGTATGAAATCAGTAAATTAGGAAGAAAATCCAACCACACAATGACTGATGTAGCATTTCAAATCATTAAATCACAGTGGCTTGATTTGCTATGCCAATTTTATTCTTGCAAATAAATAGGTGAGTTTTCCCCACACAAAATCAGCTAGCTTATTTAAAATTGAGGCAAATAACATACACTGATCACAGTTGTTACCATGAGTTATTTTGAAAAGTTCTCAAAAGTCTCTAGTGAGTTACTTTTCTCTGTTGGGAGTGCGGGAATAGAGTGAGGATTGCATTTCATTTCAGTAGATTATGGTATCTTAGAATGCAGTATGATGTTTTGGTTAGAAATATTAGCTATTATTTTTGTAAATATTAATACTTGCCTCCTTTCTATTGCTATGACTTTTTTTTAATTCATGACTTTTTAAAAATATTCTATAATGCCATTGTATTTCATTAGTGTATAATTTCCTACACACAATGAACAGAATATATAGTGATGAAGAACACAGAAACAATATTTGCAAAGTATTTCATAAAGAAAATAAATATTTTTCTTTGGAAATAGTTTTCATGCGGCTCTTCTCAAAATATAATATTTTCATTAAAACAAAATTCAGTGGTTTTTATTTGTTTTATTCATTGACTATTAACTGCCTTAAAAGAAATAATATTTACAATAACATGGCATATACAGGGAACTGAATGCAAAAGTATTTTAAAATAAAAAAATAGCGAGGAATTTATTAAAATTTTGCATTGATGCAAAAATTTAAGATGTATATAAAGACAATTGAAATAACACCAAGACAAGCTTCTGAAAAATGTAATTGATTAAACTGTTTGTTGAATATCCAACTCATCAAGTCTAAATTGTAAAAACTCAGCTTTGAATATCTGTAAACTGCTGTAGATTTGTAAAAACAAAAGTTACTGCTCATTGATGCATTGATGCATTAATGCTTTTTGTGCATTATATTTTTTTGCTACACAATTAAACATGGTACTTGGTTCCCCTCTTCCCCACTCTTCCACATGAAAATCTTCAGTCTTGTCATTATCATGTAAAATTGCTTTTGGAAACAGATTGTCATGCAAATAATTTATGTTTGCTAAGAGTTGATAATGATGGCACAAAGTCAGTCAGTCGGGTTGTGTGGAGCCATGAAACTGAAGCTAAGATTTAAGAAATCTTGACAAAGCAAATAATAACATGAGATCTTGCAAAATAGGTATGTTTCAGGTACTAACAGTTGGGGACTTTCATTTGGTGGGTCCTAGGAGATGTATCTTTCCTGCCATGGTGCCTGTTTTATGGAATATTCTTCCTCCCAAAATTAGATTGGCTCCATACTTTTTGTTAATTAAAAAACCCTTGAGAGTTGCCTATATTCTCAGGCTCCCTGAGCCTCTCAGGCAAACAGAGACTGCACTGTTTTTATCCTCTTTTGCCTAGAATTTGCATTTCTAGCTTTTGTGATGTTTCTTAATATGGATTATACATTTTATATTTTTGTTTTTATTTGTTGTCTTTACCTGATTGTTTTTCACCTGCCAGAAATAGGTGGGCACATAATTTGGTTTGTAGATGAACAAACACGTGACTTATGAGCCCAGTCCCTATGAGAATCTTCTATATTATCAAAATTCCTATTCTACAAATGCTCCTGAGCTACATTAATAATCTGATCATCACAAAGGCACCCTTGTATTATCTCTGAGTTACTCCCATGAGCTTATTGAAGGCCAATAGCCAAAGTCAGTTTTGATCATGCTGCCTCTTAGTGGCTGCCAAATAACTTAGGTCATCTAGAGCTTCTTATATTCAAAGGCGTCAACAGAGATCATCCATCATCATCATCATCATCATCATCATCATCATCATCATCATCATCATCATCATCATCATCATCATCAT